ATCCCATAACAGCGTGGCGCAAACCTAAGATCATAAGCATATGGATTATGACAGAGGGCTGTCTTAATTTCATTAGTTCAATATAGTTGTCTGCTCCAGAAGATGCTACGCGGCTTAGGGAAAAAAAATTACACAATTAAAACCCACAAAAATGGGCAGCCCAGACTAAGACAACAGTAGGGGGGGAAAAACCCACAAATGACAGGCACATTTCGTGACTCACAGCCCACATTAACCCCAAAGCTGGGAACTAAGCCAGGTCTTGTCCACCTCTTCATCGAAAAAGGAATATATATTTTTTGCTAGGATTAAATCAGGGGAGGGAGGGAGGGGGGGACACAAAATACTTCTCCCCCCTTTCGTGATTTTAAGCTTGCTCAGCTGCAGATTTGAGACAGACTCCTGCACAGACAGAGGCGCGATTCTTCAATCCACCCAAACTGACCATTTTAAATCTCTCAAAGAAAAAACGCTTCGTATTCTGTTCCTCTCCATTTCAAAGACAGCACGGGTAATCCTCGAATTATGGCCAAATTTTACGGCGGTAAGCGAGGCATTTGTTCAACGAGTTTTGCCACCTTACTTGCCATGGGTTTGTTAAGTGGATCGCTGCGGTTGTTAAATGAGTAACACGGTCGTTAAGTGAAGCTGGCTTCCCCCCCCCCCGTCCCATGAACTTTGCTTGTCACGGGACACCGTCCTAAATATGAGTCAGTTGCCAAGCAGCTGGGTTTTGATCACGTGATCATGGGGGCGTCGCGATGGTCATAAGTGTGAAAAACGGTCACAAGTCCCTCTCTTCGGTGCCGTTGTTAACTCTGAGCGGTCACTAAATGGAGTGTTGTAAATCGAGGACTGCCTGTGACGATTTCTGAATGGAGATCACATTCATTCACGAAGAAAGGAGATATATAGACTCCAATTGTTTTCAAGGAGCTAAACAGCCTAATTTTAAAAAAAAACTAAAACAAAAAAAAAACAAGAAACAAAGAAAGAATCTCATTTCCTAATCAATCAATAACTTTAGCTAATGGCTTTCCGGTAACTTTTCACCAGCTTGCCCATTAAGAGAGCCGTTGCTAATCTGGATTGTGCCCATCCTGGCAAAGCAGAAGCAACATCAAACAACCCTTAATAATAATAATCATAATAGAGTTGGAAGGGACCTGGGAGGTCATCTAGTCCAACCCCCTGCTCAGGCAGGAAAACCCTCTCCCATTTCAGACAAATGGCAGTCCAGTCTCTGCTTAAAAAACTTCCAGTGTTGGAGCATTCGCAGCTTCTAGAGGCAGGTTGTTCCACTGGTTAATTGTTCTAATTAGCAAATCAGATTTTCAGCGGGACAAGGATACAGTTACCAAAGAGTGTGAGGACAATGAAGTAGATGGAGGAGAACATTCCAGAATGGACACCCCCTTGGGATTCGATGCCCTGGTACATCACGGCGTTCCAGTCTTCCCCAGTCAGAATCTGAAAAAGTCATGGAAACGGGTTTGTGAAAGAAAAGGATAAGTCTCTTTTGCTCCAAGAACAGAGAGCCCACCATGGAAAAGTTGCTCCAGGAAGAATGGGGTGGGGTGACCACTTCTTAAATAGTCAGAATAACAGAGCTGGAAGGGACCTTGGGGGTCTTCTAGTGCAACCCCCTGCTCAGGCAGGAAACCCTATTACAATTCCAGAAAAATGGTTGTCCACTCTCTTCTTGAAAACCTCCAGTGTTGGAGCACCCACAACTTCTGGAGGCAAGCTGTTCCACTGGTTAATTGTTCTCATTGTTAGGAAGTTTCTCCTCAATTTCAGGCTGTTTCTCTCCTAAATTAGTTTCCATCCGTTGCTTCCTGTCTGCAGACGTTTCATTACCCAACTAGGTAACGTCATCCATGCCTCAGCGAGGTTACCTAGTTTGATAATGAAACGTCTGCAAGAAAACAACTAACATATCTTTTTTTTACCCCAGTCAATGCTAAACAGCTTAGTGACCCCTGACATGGACCCTCTTTCTGGTAAAATCTTAGCAAGAGCAGTAGGATTTGCCCCTCCTAATTTCTTCCTTCTTTTCCTTGTTTAGCTCAAGGCTGCGAGTTCTTCTTCTCCTCCCTCCCTTCCTGATTAAGATTCACTGCCCCAATTAGCATCCTATGCACAAACAAGAGCGGTAGAAGGGAGGCGATATTTTTCAACATGACCCTCCAGGCCTTTCTCCAACTATTATTCTCATTAATTTAGGCTGCTTAAAGCAAAAATGGAAAACGGGTTACTGCTGCTGATGCTACGAATGTGGCACAGCAGACAGGATCCTAGAGAGGAATGTTTTCATGGCACTGAACATGGGAACGCTAAGGGCCATGATACTATGCCAGAGGAGCTCCTAGGGATATCGGTGACTTATAAGACAAGAGTCATAAGTTCTGGATCATGTGTGACTTTCTTTCTTGCGGCCAACTAGGATTGCGTAACCCTCTTGATTGTCCACAGGAGGAGGAGGAGGAGGAAAGAAGGAAGGAAGGAAGGAAGGAAGGAAGGAAGGAAGGAAGGAAGGAAGGAAGGAAGGAAGGAAGGAAGGAAGGAAGGAAGGAAGGAAGGAAGG